TGAAACATTCCACGCAGCTAAGCTTCGAATCATCTTCTCTAGCCGACCTACCATTCTGGGGTGTGTTAAGGACAAACTTTCGCTTTGGGCCACTTCAATGTGTATTTATAAATTTACTTGTTCATGTGAGGCATGTTACGTAGGCCGCACAAAGCGATCATTATCCTAATGATGTCACAGGTATTCAGTGTTTGACAACGCTTCTACCAGTAACACCTTCTAATGTATTTTGTTCCCACCCAGAGAAATCAAAAGACAGAGTCGAGGAGATCGGAAGAGTATATTTGGCGATGACCAATATATCGGAATTCTCTGATCTAATCTGGCTAGCGATTGTGGTTGATGTTGAGCACGGCGTTACCACACGCGATCTGGTGCGGATGCCTGACCTAGCGCCTTCAGCTAGATGAGTCCACTAAAACATATGGTCAGCATCCAATGTCGAAAACTTACAGAGCTATTTATTTTGGGGATTTATTTACCGCTACAATCCAAACGCATCTCGGAACATTATCCGGCTTGGCTTTTGAAAGGGGAGCGAAAAACAATCACGAGTTCTATACAGGAGCACTTAATCAACTGTGGACATATCGCTCCAAAAGACTCTTCGTTTAAAATAGTTTACAGAGTCAAAGGAACTGGATCGAAGGGGGGTTCGAATCAATATTTTATGCACCGCAGAGGCATTGGCAATCCACAAACTAAAGCCTGAACTTTGCGTGCAGAAACGATTTGTCCAACCTCTTATCCTTCCTTGGCCTTAATGGGTATGTTTCTAGGTGTATTTTTTTAAATGCACTTTTATTATTATCCATATTTTAAATTACTATTTTTGCACTTTAAACTCTAATCATTTATTATTACTACCTTTTACAAGTTTTCTTGATTATCATTCACTTTATTATTATGACCTTTGTTGTTTTGTCGTTTTTCTTCATATCTGTCAATTGGACTATTATCTGACCCTTAAATGTTGTTCTTCCTTACCCCTTGATTAGTACGTTAACCTTATTTGTTATTTAATGTCGAATCCATTTTTTGTGATACAATCCTTTCTATCCTTCTTTGGACATACATTTTCCATATAACTATATATACGAATGTACAGCTTAAGTAAATGATTTCGTCGAAAAGAAAATTTTCTTCGCTGAATTCTCTTTATCTTATTCAATGACACTATGGGTTATTTTAATTATCTGCAATTTCAATAGTTAAAATCATGAGTCAATTGAAGCTAGACCACCATAGAAAACCTGGAAGCACTAAACAGCCGTTTCGTCCTATTGTGGGACTTCTTAGCAGTATGCATACATGATTCCGCTTCCCGCGAGATCCGAATGTAAGATCTATCAGTCTTGCACGCGAGCGCTTAACTATTAGATCATTGAGCCGGCATCCAACGAAGTTAATGTCCAACTTCAATCAATCCACGCAATCGCGTCACCGTACATCAATGTCTTCAGTGAGCTGAGAAGTCCCATACTAGGACGAAACGGCCGTCCAGTGGTTCTAGGTTTTCTATGGTGGTCTAGCTTCAATTGACCCATGATTCCAACTATTGAAATTATTAATTAATTATTTTAATATTTGATAATTAATAAAAATAAATAGAAAAATTATGTAAATCGATAGGTTACAAAATGATTATAGTATATAACAAATTAAATAGTAAAATGTCATTACTACCTAAAATAAACTGTTATATCTCAATGAGAATAATGAGTGGTAACTGTTGGGATCTATTTATGGACTAATATTATACATACATTTTTATTGTATAATTGTTAAGTAACTTAACTGCTTACATTCGTGTTCTTCTTGTCATAAGCTTTATTTTGATCTATGAACTTTTATTATACGATTTACCATTCTCGAGTTCTGCTCAGTCTATCGATTACTATTTACCACATTCACAGCCATATCTGGTTAAATCTTGTACAAATGTTGTTTTCTATTTTATGGTACGATGTGGTCTATTTGGTTTGTGTATAAACTCAGTATGTTTGAAATACATAATTCATATGGTGGAGGCTGAGATTGGTGTTCTTGATTAAACAGGCAGGGCTAGGCAGGAAGAAAGACCGATAAAGACTCTAGACGTCTCGTACGGCTTTCATGCGTCATTGGTCCGGTCGATAAATCACTGTTCTTTAAGTGGCGGTATCATTAAGTTATATATTGATAGGGACACAAACCCACAAGTTATAACATAAACACACTTGATATTTAATATTATAAAGTGATCTACATTTGTGAAATAATTATCTCATTTGTTTAATAATCAGACTTATCATTGTAATATGTTAAGACGTTCAGACTATTTGCAAATAAAGGGTCTATTTAAAGTTGGAGAACTTTGAAAACTATGATGTCTTGGACAGTTGTTTTCAGCTAGTAATTACTATACCAATAGATCATTTGTTTGGAATCCAGTGATCCATGATAACATGTTCGGTACGTTTGTATTCATCACTTAACGACATCAATTATATTTATTTACTTTTTGATACAGCTAAACGCCATTATATATTCTTCAGGTTAGTCACTAATAAGCACATGGTTATTACTAATCGAGCAGAGAGTTCTCGGTAGTTATTTTATTTAAAGTTAATTTATATACCATGAATTTGATTCATTTCATTTATAAAACTTACCTACAAGTAAAACCATCTATATGAATATTTTGACAAGTTAAGCAACTTTTCATCATCTATATATAAATTTCCTGTGCGAAAGATTTGCACTTAAAAAATCGTTCATTCAGGTAGAGATGTTATAAATAAATACTGAGCTGTTTGCTGATACTGTGTGCTGTTACATTTAAAAAGTTTAAATCATATCATTTATGGTTGCCGGAGATAACTAAATGTCTTTCCCAGGGTTAAGCATAGACAGTTATTTTTATAAAGAGGACCAGAATTACATTTACTAATCTGCATTAACGGTAGTACCGTGGTTTTGAATATTAAACCATATAACTTTATGAATTCCTACTTCACGTCTATAATAGCTCTGTGACACAACTTTTTAAAAAGCCTGTAATAAGTATCTATGCTCGTTTCATTATCAGGTGGCCTTTATTAACTTCACTATTTCTCTAACAATATGTTCAGATGATTTTCTCTTGAGAACTCATGTCTAGTGATTGGTATTTTCATGAAAATTGTTTTGCTTTGAATCAAAAATGAATTTCTTCAACAGTGCCCCGAGTTATATCTGACCTTCGAATATTTAAATTTTACCAGTGATCCTTTTTATTGTTGTTATTACGTGGTCTTGATTATCAATTTTCTTTGGCATTAAGCTATTTTCATATACTTTTTAGGAAACTCCTCTCCATGAATTTTTATATTATTTAAGATATAATTATTCACCTATTCGATCATTTTCTATAATTCTTCCATAATGATTTCTGCTTTATCATTCTTTATTGATGTAAACATTTTCAATATTATGATACAAAGTACTAGCACACCAACTTTTAATAATTTAAATTGATAGGTCCTTTATTCTAATATCGCGGTGGGCAGGATCGTGGATGCGCACTGCTCAGGAGTCCCACAATAGGACGAAACGGTCGCCCAGTGCTTCCATGTTTTCTGTGGTGGTCTAGCTTTAATCGACTCAAGATTACAACTATTGAAATTACTAAAATCTTCACAAAACCCCTACTGATTACAAGGAACTGATAAGAAACCATCAAATGAAATAAACTGCTACGTTTGTTCTCTTAGCTCTATCCAAATTTATTAACCAAGCTGAAAATCGGGTCAAACAAAAATTAACATACCTATTTTAACTTTATAATAAATAAGGAGAACAAAGAATAGATTTAACTGCAGCTTTAATAAATCCATGAATAGTATAATGAGCTACAAATCAACCAATTGGTGTCGATCATTGATTTGTTTCTGTGAAATGATTTTTATACTTCAAAGTTAGAAGTTGAACTTAATTAGGTGGATTATGCAACCTTTAGTGGACTGTTTATAGACAAAAATATGATGACTATTCCAGTATGTAACATGTTCCTATGATCGAAAAAAACCCAAATACATATATAGTGATTTAATTTATATAGTTTCAGTGAACGAAAAATGAAGGCACAAGTATTCAAGATGAAAATACCAAACAAGAATTTTATGAATCTATAGATGCATTAAACAACACGTAATATCTTAAAAGATGTTAACTTCAAAACAAAGATGTGAAAATAAGTTTCAAATACTGATGAAGGCTAGAAACATCTTAAAATAACTCATCACCAACATTGTGAACTACCGAAACATTCGTCAAATACAGGAATAGTAATGTCATAAACAACGTAGACCAAGACTTCACAATTCATATCTGGATATCAAAAGTATATAAGCAAAACACATAGTGTAAATAAATTAGTCATAAGGAATACAATTTAAAAAAACCAGTGAAACCGAGTTCTTAATAAATGGCGTAGTGTTCATAAATTAACATATGCAGGAAGATAATGAATACGTCTGTTAATGTCGGTGATCGATTTTGAGCCTTACTATTCAAGGTCCCCAAGGCCTGATTATGATTAAGTCGAGGTCCCCAACAAAATTACCGACTTTACGAACTGGTACCGTGAGTTGACTCAGGTTTACATAGCTTTCATCTTACTTGCTCCTACCTTAGGCAAAATTGTACGCTTGAGTGTGACATGGAGTATAAACATTACTGAGTCAAAAAAGTGGCCTCATACCAAGGTCCAACAAAAACAATGTGTTCCCATGCTTTACCCGTATTGAAAATATAAGTCTTTTTACTGTATACCAGTTCTTAGCGTAATGAGCTTCATTCACTTAAAATACTACCTAAACTCTAACCAAGTTACAGATTCTCCAGAGCTTCTATAGCTTTAGGAGGGATAATAAATTTATTTACATGTTCAACCAAGATAAAATCATTCAGGTGACTTAAGTAGACATTCTGGTTCGAAATTCACAATTTCCCAAAAAATATCATTTAATTTACACAAGTCAGGTCGAATTTTCTAATTCATTACCATGATCAACAGTTGAACTAAAGCATATCAAATCAATATCCGAAATGATCCGTTCTTTTTTCATATCTAGAAAAGCATATAATGGGTATTAAAAGGTTGACTGGACGTAGTAAACGGTGGGAGATGGACTTCACGAAGATTTTATTACGGAATAACTTTTAGTACCCTAAGAGCAGTAAATAAAAATATTGTCAAGTTGAAATATTTGACAGAAAATTGACGTTAAACCGGCTAATAACATTTCATGTTGTAATAAACAATGACATATTTGTTAATATTCTTTGAATTATTATTGCAGACATTCTAGCTATATAGAGGACAGATCTTGGTTACCAGTAGCTGTTACCACCATCTAGCATCAAATCGAAACTGAAGTTTAATCAACTACCGACCGTTTTGCACGAAGAAAAAAAAGCACATGGATTATCAGCAACGCAATTAACACATTTTGTACAGAATAATCTAAGACATACTTGTATGCAATATACGGCCTTAGTTTGGTCTTCAACCTGCGCCTCGTACTCACAAAGCGAACAATTGTCTTGACTAATGAAGCCAGTAAAATTCTGATTTATATCTTTACAAATCCCTAGTTGTTTTGGTTTGGTTATGAAAGATCCGCGGTAATTCTCGAAATTTTCATCTTTATTCATATTCACTTCCCCTTTTATATTCTCAGTAGTGTTGTTTATTATCGATATATTCTTTGAAGCGCTTGTATTTGTTTTGTTTACACGTTTATTATATATTGTGGTAAGTACTGCCAATGATCTTGAACCAGTTTGTACAACAGTACATCCATATCCATAGAAATGCGTTTGTGGTGATTGCCGTTGAAATATATACACAGAAGACTTGGTTTGGGTACCTGAAAGTTTGATAGTAAGTTTGATATTTTACCAAGCACCACCAGTCCAGTCACCAAATAAATGATATGTTCAATGTACTTATGTGATTGAAAAAACCTAGGGACTTTATGGCATGTGTACTATGGTGACTTTGGAGTACTATCAATTGAAATCAATTATTCAGCAAAATATGATCTTAGTTACCGTAGGCTTAAGTTTGAATAAGTTTGCCAAAGAGTTGGCTATATAATTACTCCGAACCTTGTAAAGATAAGTGACTATCTCAAAACACTGACGAATCACTGTTGTTGCAGTGTGCTACCTTTAAAAGATAAGTTCAGTTGGTAAGCTGTACTGAAAGTATATAATATTATCTAATCGTGGTCAGAAACATGATAACATTAAAAACTTGATAGACAGAAATAACAAAAAAAAATAGCTCCTATTTAAATAAAAGTAGTAACACATTAGGAGTGTCCGTCTATACAGTTAAAAATTACCTTGGCTTTCATATGGCTTTTCTTTTGACTGATGTGGTATGAGCGTAATTGCTAACTTTTCCTGCTGACAACCCCAGGCTAGTAAATGCGAATGGTATTTCAAATCCTCTGACATTGAAAACGATTCATCTTCTTTGTTTAACCAAAAGGTACTTGGTTGTGGATGCCAACTGGTCTCCGGTGTTTTTTCTGCCAAAGTGTTTGTGGAACTAAAAAGTTCATAACTACCTATGTAGTCACAGAGATTTTGATTTGACGTCAAATTTGACCTCTGAACGTTATACAAACATTTGGGTGATTCCATTTCTGTACAGTATTGCCAAAATCCCATTATTCCATTGTTAAAACTTGCTGCCAGAATACCTTTCGTAAATTCCAGAAAAACGGTTTCGATTTTAGACATAATATTGGATATAAACTGCATAAACTAGAATCCTAATACATATGAGCTGATTTAAAACAATTACAGTATTACTTCAATATGTATAGTTAATCCAAGAGTTCATTTTCTCATTGTTTGCTTGAATCTTCCCAATAGTGTTTGGGACTGCAATTGATCAGGCTCTTATTGGCATATGTGCATCCCACGAGGATTGCCTGGTTATTGCCTTGAGCCACAAGCATTTTGAGCAAAGATGGATAGTGGCTAGTAGTGGAATCCAGGATTCAGTAGCTTAATGGATAGCGTAATGGCGTTTGAAAAGAACGGTATGTGGTTCGAATTCCTGAGTGAGCATCATCTCTGGGATGTAGGTATAGCTAGCTAACGAACTCCAAATAGGACGAAACGTGCGGCCTCGATTTCACTGCCAACCACCATCCATCTTTGCCTATAATCAATACATTAGTTTTGCAAACAATTTTTCTAATAACATATGAGACTTTACCTGCTGGAATAATGGGCAAAAATAATATAATATTTGTAAACAGTTTCTTTATCCCTGATTCACTTTGTAATAAAATAAATTAATAGTCATTCCGTCATTCATTATAAAATTACGGCAAACCAGCCTTCCGCTCTTAATCAGTCGATAAATCATAAGGGACCTAAGATCTGGCATATACACGTATAGCCCCACGTTGTCGCAATATATCAGCACAACGGGATAAAGTTATTACAACAAGTGGTAAGGCAATAAGGATATTAACGCCATCAACGGTAGTAAAAATTACAATCTGAGAGGAAAAGGTGAATTCCATTCTTAGAAACAATAACCCTGTGTTACAGATAAAAGAGAACCGTCTAATGCTGATACGACGCTTTAAGAGCCATACTTTGCTTTACAAAACAAAACCTTCATGAAATGTTTTCCATGCAAATTAGCATTGTTGTATAACTATTTTTCTTACGCTACCACTGTTTTTATTTATGATACAATTTCAGTTGATTTAATGTTAGCATTAAACGTACTACTGCTACTTTATCTAACTAAAAATCAGGTATTTAGATTTAAAATCGAGATTTTATTTTAACAGCGAAACACAAAAATCGTATATACACATAATAATCTGTACAAATCTATTTTGATGCCATACGCTACGTTTTTAGAATAGACATATGTCACAAAAGTAAAATTTGCAACTTACAATATGTTTCCGAATAAGAAACACTGATCACCTACAGTTCACTTGTACTGCTTTTGGGAATAAGCATGCAAGGAGCTAAGGTGTAGTTATCGGTTCTTTCGACATCCCATAGTCTAACATTTTTTTCTCCAAGTGCCATAGCAAGCGTAGTTTCTCCAGCACATGTAACGGACGGTTGATTGCACATTGCTAAAGCCAGTTTCATCTAAAAGATGTACAAGTATGTTTTTTCCTTATTACCAAAAAACAGCAGCAAAATACTTCGTAAAATGCAGGTAAAACTGACCGATAAGTAAGTTAGAATAAGTGCTTTCAATTCACTTTCATCCCGTTTTACATGGAGCATAACGTTTCATTATTTATTTCTTTATGCTGCATTAGCTTAAATATGACAATTCTCCGCAAGTTACCGATTTTGCTGAAATAATAAAATATCTCAAGAAATATTCCAATTTGTGTGAAGCAAATTATCAAATACATTAAATTACAATCGTATTATAACCACTGTGAAATTACACCATTCTGTCCATTTTTCACCAAATAAATTAAGCAACTACTCTCTATGCAAAATATTATAATAAAAAATCAAGCAAAATCCATGCAAAGTAATTACCTGCATCTATAGACCGTGTTTAAAAGCAAACGCCTTGAGTCTTACTGTCATAGATGCTACCGTTACATATTCATCCATATTTAACCCAATAATTATCCTACAAATTGATGGTTTATAGTGATAGCTTAACGATAGCCTGCTTGTGCAAGGTTCTATACCACTTATCTATCATTTGTATCATGTAGTATTCTGTGTCCGTGGTTTAGAGTGTTTCGAATAGCTTCAGAAGTTTTTTTGTACTAGAATAAATCGATGATTTCATGATCAGTTCCGTTAAATTAGGTGATGAAT